TGGAATGTAGCCAATTCAGGGGGGTTGGGTGAGGGCAGTCACTTGACATGCGTGAGAAGCTGAATTGTTCTGTGAGAAGCTGGAATTCGTTCGCACAACATCGCTGAGCCGCGCGCGGCGACTGCCCCCCCCCCGAGCCACATTGCGCCCAATTTTGTTTATACAAATGAAGTGAGTGCAAAAAACATCGAAAAAATACAAGAAATACACCAAAACCAAGATTATCGACCGGAGCGCCCCATCTGCGCCCAGCGCACGCGTCATGCGCCAGAGCGCGTATTGACGCTCTTCACACTGTCGGTGCGGTCGGCGCCGTCGGCGCCGTCGGCACCGACCGCACCGATGCGAACTATGAAAGCAGCCTAAGGATTGAGGCATCAACGCGCTGCCAGCAGAAACGCCAAAAGGGTGTTTGCTTACTTCCCTGCTAGGTAAGTGTCAATCATTTTTATTGGAATACTTGAAATATTATATATTTATTTTTTATCAAAAACGTGAGGCATAATGCTATGCACGATCATAAACTTTTTCGAAACAGCTAAAAAAATTCGGAATTTCTCCTTCATAAAAATCTAAGAAGCTGTGTTGATTTTCACAGCTTCCTTACTTTCCTAGTTTGTGGTCGAAGGTACCGATGCTGTAAGAAATTACTCACCTTCTTTCTTCTTACAGGCTCAACCGGAATAATGTTTGTTTTCTTTGAGCGAGAGATAGTTGATAAAGTCTTCAGGTTCCCACATAGCTGGGTCTTGGAGTCCACCACAAATCTGACGGAGCTGATGTTGTCAGTGAAGGAAGTGGCGGAGTTGCTCGCTGTCGGTGCAATAATTCCGTTTCGTCAGGTGGCACTGCCGGTTGCCCTGTGGTCGTGGTGCTTGGTGACTCATCAAGATTTTTGTCTGCGTTCCCGAATGAATCGAGGTCGTTCTCATCCACTTCTCCTGAAGACTTAGAGGCCGTGGCTGTTGTTTCATCCCCTCCTAGCGGAACTGATAAGGAACTGGAGGGCTCCGGAATGGCTGCATCAGGTGAGGAAGAAGCATCCGTGGTGGTAGACGCAAGAGATGGCAAGTCTTCCTCTGCGAGGTTCGTCAGGGTACTTGTAGGGGGTATTGGCAGCAGCAAAATTGGTGAGAGGGACTTCCGAGCCGCAGTAGACGCCGAAGTCTTGTTCTTTTTGGCACGAGTAGTAACGAACATAGAAGTCTTCGTCGCTGAAATATTCGTCGTTGGTAAACTGATAAGTTGAGGAGAAGAACGCTGGGCAATCGAAGCAAATGAAGCTGGAGACAGTGGTAAAGCGGTATCTGTGAGATTCGATCCAGATGCATGATGATTACGTCTGGACGTGATGGCTCCCTCTACTTTCGAAAAGGAAGGTCTACTTAGGGGTGCCTTGGCTGGCCTCAAGGAAGCAATAGTACCAGGCGTGGTTGTCGGAAGAAACTTCAACTTTCTTTTGAAGAACCCTTCCAATTTCTGTTCCTCTAGTACATTCTTGGGTAGCGCAACTGTTATCGACGGTTCAGGGGTGGTGCGTGTTGTGGATCTCCACTTGGGCGTTTTCAACGTTGTCGGAGTTGGAGAAGGCGTCGTAGATGTTTTCGCTATCGTTGAAGGGACAGTCGCTCTCCGAGTTGATGAAAGCTTTGGCCCTCTTGTGATCTTCACGAAGTATCGTACTACATTCTGCTGACTGTTTTTAGAGGTGGCGTTCTTGAGTAAAGTTGTTTTGTTGGGAACGATCGCCCACTGGAGGTCGTCGGTAGGCGGTTGCGTCGTGGGTGCCTCCTCGAGCTTCTCTTCTGATTGTGTTTTCTGGTCATCGAAAAAGGAGATGTCGCGAAATAAGGAACGATCATTGAACTCCGCGAATGTGTCCACAGTGGTGGACGGGATATTGCGTACGGCGGCGGCAGCTACGGTAGGACTCGCTGTCACCGTAGCCCGATGGCTAGTGTCCAGCCTATGCGCTGAGCTTTCCGTTGATACGCCACGTATACATGTCCAGTGTGTTATTTGCAACTGTCGATGCATACTCCAACAGCACCCAAAGGGAGCCTCCTTCTCTTCATGGTAATGGTTTTATTATTACCACGTTCCATCAATCTACAATCAGCAGTGGGTGTGTTTTTTACCCCAAGATAAGGGGTCCGATCTTACGAAAGGGACTTTTGGTTAGAAAAAAAGATTGTGTGATCTCTTGACAAGGCGCAAATTCTTAACAAAAAACTGTGCAACTTTTTCAGCAACGAACCTTCCAAAACTGACGCCGATCTTGATCTTTCGGACTTGAATAGTCAAAGAATTGGACGAATCGCGGGTCTTTTTGACAACAACTGAAGCAACGTCAACGACAGAAATTCAAAAAGTAAATGAAACAGCGACGGTGACAAAATCACACCATCACTCTACGGTGACAACTACTTCTCCAAAAGCCTCCTCCTCTTACCCGCTCCATCCCCTCTACGAAATCCCATCATCGCCCTACGGTGAAAACGGTTACCACGGAAGCCCCCACCACGACAGGCACCATACCGTCTACAAAATTCTACAAAATCCCATCATCGTCCTACGGTGAAAGCTATTACGCCCGAAACCTACGCCACGATACGCCTCCTTCCTGTCTACCAAAATCCCGCCATCGTCCTACGGTAAAAACGATTCCCACGGAAGCTCCCACCACGACAGGCACCATCTCCTCTACAAAATCCTA